GTGTGTGTGTGTGTGTGTGTGTGTGTGTGTGTGTGTGTGTGTGTGTGTGTGTGTGTGTGTGTGTGTGTGTGTGTGTGTGTGTGTGTGTGTGTTGTTGGCACGCCGCTGACATTTTCAGCGGAAACGGCGCGTCTGCAATGACGATAATTTGTTTTTGAACGAGATAACCGCGCAATTACGGAAGCTCGATACTTCCTCTACATACCCGCCTGGAACCGCATCGACACATTATTCCAAATTATTGACCTTTCTAGCACTTTGTGACGAAAACGCAAATAGACCGTCGTACCAACATATTTTTTCTAATTAAACTTTCAAGCAGATTGCTCGCTCGAAGGTACTCTCTCACGTCACCATTTTGCGCGCAAAAGAAGAATGACTTATCGTTGTAAAAAAAAAAAAAAAAAAATTTTTTTTTTTAATCGTAAGCAACAAGCAAAGTGTATTGCGAAAGGGCTTTTATGTCGACCTCGTTATGATTTCCTTATTTATATAAAAATTCTGATTAGATTGCGGTGCGTGAGTATATTGCGTTACAAATCTATCAATTATATAGTTTCTCCACGCCCTCTCGCCACCCTCGTACTCGTGCACGCTATCGCTGGGTGTGTATGAGAAATTAGAGCGGAAAATTATATTCGCATGTCCATTGTTCAAATCAGATTCACGATAGTATAATCGCCCGTTATTATTATTATTTAAAAATACATTCCGAGCGCGACGTTCGGCAATTGCGCGCGTACGCCGCTGTTAATCGAATTTTCTCAATCGCAATAAAAGAGAAATTCGCCTTCCGAGCCTCTTTCAGGGGTTTAACCTACATATCATTATGTTATCGTGCCGCTCGATCGAGCACGTCGGTTTTTCCACGAATAGAACTCTCGTCATGATTTTGTTTCACCATGATTAATTACAGTTGTTTAGCTTTTTCGTGTAATTGTCTCGCGATACTCGCGGCCATTATATTGCGAATAAGTGTGGCCTTAAAAGTCATCTTTTTTACGAATCCTTACGTTAATTAACTTCTAAGCGAGCTCGTTTCATCCATGTAATCAACAAACGCGTGTTCTCACGCGAAGGTCTCTGAAAGCGTGCATAACATCATATTTCGTCGTGGAATTAGTATATTTCGCTCGACGAAAAATCGCTCGGCGACCTCTAATTTGAAGAAATCCTCGCGATAATTCTATAAATATATATATATATATATATATATGAAATCTCAACTTATCATGCAATTTCCTTTTTCGCGAATTCAGCTCCGCAATGCATCGTTATTCCATTCTAATTATCTTAGATTTGCGA